ATGCGCGGACTGAACTTTTTTAAAATATGTTATATTTAAATACATATTTTGCTATCAATATCTTTTTTTACATTTGATTAGAGATGGACATTTGGATACCATTTTCTTCGGTTAGATTCTATTTGGTTTATATTTTTGCTGTTTGGTTCGAATCTTTGTAATTTGGTTTAGGTTCAGATAACCCATTTAATTATTTTTTTAAAAAGATTAAATTTCATATATACTTCAAAATTTTCAAAATCTAGTAAAAATAATATATAACATATAACATATAAATTTGAAAAATGAATGTCAAAATACTTAAACTTAACATAAAATTGGTTTATCTTAACTATTTGGACAAAAATCTATAAATATTTCAAATATTTTTGGTATTTGGAGTATCGTTTAGCTCTTTTAAAAATGTACTTTTAACTATTTTATATATTTCTAAGTATTTTTGGAAAATTTTAAAAAAATCTCATGTATTTTCTATATTCTTAGATGTTAAATTTTAAAATAATTAATATATTTAAGTATATAAATCTGGTTGAGTACACTCGGATACCCGAAATATTTCGATTCAGTTTTGGTTCTCTAGATACCAAAATTCCGAATCCGTTTGGATATCTAACCAATTTTGGTTAAAAATTTGTACTACTTTTTGGATTAGATTTGGTCTGTTATCTGGATTCAATTTTTTTTTGCCCAACCATATATTTTTAATTATAAAAAAATTTAAAGGAAAGGAATGATGGTTCATATTTATTTTGGGTACGCAATAATTTTTGAACAGAACACATTCTATTATGCGTGATCCATTTAGTTAATCATTATAAAATGTTTAAGACCCATTAAAAAATGATTGGCTGAACTAAACAATGTTATCATTGATCACAAAATTTTCAATGTGAGATTTTTACTATTTTTAGTAATTTATGGTCGTTTTAAAAAATTCATAGTTTAACATAGAAAAAAATCTAATTTTTCTATTATATTATTAATGTGATTTTTTAATTTCTTTTAATAATATAAAATTAAATAAAAAGTAAAGAGGATAAAAAATTGTTATCAAATCTTTATTATTCATAAACATTAATTGTGATATATATGTTAATCATATTAGGTAATTCCGTAGCTTTTGCCTAAGGAAAAAATATGAAATATTCTTTTGTACACTACTAATTAAATATGATAGTTAGTATAATAAAAATATAACATATGTTTAGTTGGACCAACATATTTCTCTAAGAGTTATGAAAATCATTCTCATTGTAACACGTGTCTACCAAAAAAATGTTGTAATTCTCCATAATTAATATATAGGAGATTTAAACTACTAATGAAAAAATATTATATGTGAAAATTTTACATGTTTATTAATTTATAGTCATTTTAAAATATTCAGAATATAACATATATCAAAAAATCTATTTTTTATATAGTTAATGTTATTGTTTCATTTATTTTCACAATATAAATCTAACAAAAATAGTAGAGACTATAAATTTATTTATCAAATCTTCATATTCGAATAATTAATTGTCATATATATATATATTATAACCATATTAGGTAATTCCATAAATTTTATTTAAGGAAATAATGAATAGCATTAATAATAGTTTTATGTTTAATTTAATAAAAAATATATTATATGTTTATATGGACCAACATTTTTCTCTAGTAAATTTGAGAAGTATTCTCATGATGACACGTGGCTACCAAAACATGTTGTAATACTTTTCAATTAATATATAGAGGATTATGTAACAAATTATTATTGGTCATAATATAAAAAATATCCCTTCATAAATCATAATTCATAATACAAAATTTCTCCGTCTCTAATTTAATTATTCTAATTAGAAATTGACAGCATATTCATGCGGGTATATTTTTTATTTTATAAATATTTAACTTTGAGATTATCATAAATATTTGACATATATAATTTATATTTAGTGTTACATATTATGTAACTCTTTAATTCTATTGCTTACTTTTCGTATTACATTATTAATATATTATGATTTTTTTTATATATTTTACTCTTTTTTTGATCAAAATATTTTACTTTTTTATTAATTTTTATTACATTTTTGAATTTGGTACAATAAATCTATAATCTGAAATTATCAAATAATATATCTTCTTTAAAATTTATTTTTTGAAAATATATAGTTGTAGAATAAAAAGTTTAAAATATATTAATTAATTTATTTTTGTATAAGAATATTACATGGTTAACAAACTTTAACCTGTATTAATGTAGATAATAATTTATATAAATGAAAGTATTTTAAAAAATAAATAGGTTACTTTATCAATTTAATATAAGTTTTCATATTTATTTTATATAATAATTCTATTTTAATAGAATATAAAATATAACAAAACTTACAAAAGTAAAATATATATAAATATCTTTTTATAATCAGAAATAATCAAATACACTCTTCATTAAAATATATTTTTGAAAATATATCAGTAGTTGTAGAATCAAAAGTTTAACATAGTTAACAAATTTAACCCATTTTAATGGTAGATAATAATTTATTTATATGAAATTATTTTTAAAAATAAATTGGCTAATTTAATAATTTAATATTATTTGTTATATTTAATTTATATAATACTTATATTTAAAATAATATAGACTATAAAAAAATTATAAATATATAATATTTTTTTATAATACTTAGTAAATATTAATTTAAAATACTATCATATTATTAATTAGGAAATTAATTGATGCTTTATTTAACAAACATATTTTAAAATTTTAGTAGGATTTTGTTAGATTTTTTCTTAATAGATTGTGCTATAAATAAAAATAAAAATCAAATTTATGGTTACAACTGATGTATTATTAATATTTTTATTGAATATTATGTAGTAACTAATGAAATAGAGCTATTATGACTTTTGTATATTTGTACAGTAGATAAAAATAATGACTCTATAGATTCTGCAATCCTTATCTTTGACATGCAACTAACAGATATTTTCTATATATTTTTTAATATTTACGTAATCTTAATTCACCGTTCACTGGTTAAAGAAGCTGAGCAATTGTTATCGGACATCACGTATAACTTCTCCAATCCTCGAGCTGCTCTGTCAACAAGCCTTGCCATTGCTAATCAGACTATGATCGTTTCATTAGCAGCTTAGCTAGAAGAGAGTCACCATAAACGAAGATCATGCTTTTGTCGTTGATCAACAGGGTAAGAGAGGATCAGTTTGTGTCCAACGTAAAAACAAGGCATAACAAAAAGTGAGATGAGTTTGGATTGCAGTTCTGTGTATCCTTCAATTCGTCCATTAGTTATTACAGGATGTTATACATATGTTATTAACAAGATAACTACCTGGAACGGTTTAAAAAGAAATCCTATGACGATGATTACTGAGATGCTTTTGGAAGTCTCTTGTTGTCCAAAAACTAATCATGGTTCGAACCTGAAGGAACATAAACTTTCAAATTAATCCGTATAAATAAGACAGAATAAATTATTCTAAAATTAATCATTCACAATAAAAAAGTCCAACTTAATACTATGTTGAATAATTATAAGAAACTATATAACTTTATTCTAACAATTAAGTTGCAAGGATGCCAGAGATGGCAAACTTAATCAGCACACATATGAAGATGACTGGAGTGAACCATTGGTGAAAAAGATGAAGAAAACTGAAGTTGCTGGTAAGAGAAGCAGAGGGGGAGTGTATAGAAGATAAGCATGTCATATATTGATATGTATTCGCAAAACTGAAGATTTAAATATATTTTTTAAGATGCACAAATCAAAAATGCTAAGTCGATTTCAGAAAATGAAAATTTTATTTCCACGATAACTACACTGAATCCCTGATGTAAGCTAATCTATAACTAGTATTAGCACTAGATCCTAACCTCTCTTAATTAGACATCAGGGAGAAATGCTGTCTTGTCGCTTATTCCTCCTACGAACAAGTTATAAGCTCCTTCCTTAACTCTACCAGCTTTGGCTCCTCTGAATTCAATTTCAGGGACAGGGCCGGCCTGAGCCCATTTTTATGAAACATTTGAATGAGGCCCCAACATCTAAAGGGTCTCCAATTTTTTTTAAAAAAAAATTTGTTAGCTTAAAAACTATAATATATTTCTAACATAATGTACAATAATACATAACTTTTTCAAATACACATATAGTAATTAAAATACTTAATGAACTATAAATATATAATGAAATATTATATAAGATATGTGCAAAATTTTATTTAAGTATTTTAATTTGATTATAAAAAATCTTTGTAAGTTCAAAAAAAAAATTAATATGGGGCCCCAAATTTTACAGGTCCGGCTCTGCTCAGGGACATAATGTAAGGATTTAAAAGGCCATGGAGTGTCATACATCTTGGCCTTTGCAAAAAAACACTCCACCAATTCTCAATAACCTAGAGTTGTTCCAGGTACATGAGCTTCCCCGAGTCTTGTGACCTTTATACCATCTCTCTTGGGGTAGACATTGATCAATGTAGATTTCCTTGCATTTTGAGCTCCAATAACCCACATATTTCCTCTTGGACCAGCCAGTTCTTTGATGTAGGCTAATAGATTCTTAATACCAAGATCTTTCCAAGCACTAACCATAGGTAAATCTTCCTAGTGGCATAAATCTTCAGGTATTACACTTTGGTTTACTGAATTTTATCCAGATTAATAATCTAAAGTTTTTGATGCAGGAGCAAGAAACCGGTTTGCAAATAGGATCAAAGCCCTTTACGGTTAAAGGAAAATTAAGCTGCTTGTGATAGCAAAAGAGCAAAAGATTTCAGATGTAAATAAAATCAACAGAAAGAACCATGGAAAGTAGTGAGTTTCCTACACAAGTGGTTTTATAGATATATGTCGAAAACGATGGAGCAAAACATACTTGTAAGTATGTATGATCATTTTATTATTTTCCTTGTCTCATTATTTCTTATTATTATTACAATAATAATATCACTATAGTGAAGTGTCTTCAAAGATATTAGTTAAATTTGACACCATACTTAGCTTGTTGATTAGGAAGAAACATTCCAAAAAACTTTTCAACCTCAGGACTCTTCTGATTCTCATCGAACATACCCAATATATGTCTCAATACTTCAATAGGTCTCAATGGCCTCCTCGGAGATCCAATCTTCACGGTTTGTATCAAATTATTCACATAAGTCCTTGCATTATCCACACTCGTTGCAGTTCCTCCAGCTGTCAGCCAACAACACTCCGACACCATGATCTCCACCGATCCTCCTCATGTTTTCTCAGAAAGTATTCTAATATACCCCAGTTAGAAAATAACTGTTCTAGCTACCCCACCATTTTTCTCATTGCCCCACTTTTTTCTTTTGTTCGTAGTAGTTTCTAGTAATTCAAGGTAGTTTCTAGTAATTCAAGGTAATTCAATGTAGTTTCTAGTAATTCATATTACATATAATACTAATTCATTAAGAGTTATTGATTTTTTAACCATATTTTGACTTTGAGAAGAAAAAAAGAATCAAATTTATGATAGGTTAAAATAGAATGAAGATGAGAGTGAGTGGGGCAATATAGAATAAAGTCTTGTTTTCTCCAACGCCGCGTAAACAGTGTCTACGAGCGCGTGGAAGAGGTTTTGGTATGCGTTTGATCCGTCATTGACAACAGTGGACGGTGAAGTGATCAGAGCATAGTCCAAACGGATGTCTCTCATGTTGTTGATGTAGCTGAAGTAAGGGTAAACGTTCACAAGCAGAGGAGGTTGCTTGCTCGCCAAGAAACCTATCACCGGGACGATAAAGTTTCTAAATTCAGGTGTGAATGTCGCGCTCGAAGGAGGAAACCACTAAACCTTCTGGTGTCTATAGCTCTGGAAACCTTGATCCCGAGGCCTGAAACCGCTCTATCGATGTTCTGCGTGGATCCTCTGAGAACAATAGTGATTTCTCCTTATTGCTTCTGGTACTGTTGGGCATGCGCCTGAAAGAATAGAAGGAAAATGTTTAAGTAACTAAATAAAACAAATAAAAAATAACCTAAACTTAAAATTAAATCTAAAGTTGGTCAAAGCTCCCCGGAAATGGCGTCGAATTTGATGTTAAGTTTCAAATTATCTTAAAGACTTTACTTTTTCAAATAAGAGGTTCAGTTGTAGTATTTAGGGATCGAATCCACAAGGAGCTAAAGTACACTACAAATCTAATTAGTAACTAAGTTAGGTTGAGATTTATTAATAATTAATGTAGGTTTTGAACAAGGTAGTTGTTCAATTGATTTAAAGTTGGTTGTAACGATATTAAGAAGTAGTTAGATCTAGGGTTTCTATTCAGATAATCCGGATTATATATATATATAGTGGTTTAAGCTGGAGGATATATAGAGCTCAACTAGTATAACAAGTTTATCAGCTGTCGCATTTTTAAACGAGTATATTGTCTAGATCTATTGGTCTCGGCTGTCGCATGTTGATCAATAGAATGTGTCGATCGATGAATCTATAGGAGTATCGATCGATACACCTTTCGCAAGCGTCGATCAATCATTCGGATTGAATATTGATCGATCGGCTTCAAGACAAGCTTTATGTGCGGGTTGAATCTACTCACTAAGGTTGTAAGATCAGCTATTGCATGTTTCTAACAATCTTAATTCAATAAGGATCAGTGCTAATTAGCTATTCTAGAACACAAGCCTTAAGTTCCATCCTATTGATTTATACCACAACTTAACAATTCTATATTAGGGTTAATCCTTCATAACCTATTTGATCCATAAATCTAACAATGGAATTACTCAGACATAACTAAGCAATTCATAACAATAAATAAGTAAGTAATTTGCATAGATATAATAGATAAAAGAAATGGTGTTCCAATTACAAGCTTGTAGAAGACTTGAATCTTCTCTCCAACTCTCTCTATCTTAATGGTACTTTATGAAAACTGAATTATGAAAAGAATAGTTGTGAAAGCACACTTTGCCTATAACATATGGAAAAGCTATAATACTTAGGTAAGAACTCGTCAGGTGTAATCTTGTAATTTGGCGGAGACTTGGGATTCAAACCACCTTGACTAACTTGGGTCTCTGCGTATCTTCCATCGATCGATAGCACTGTGTGCATCGATCGATCATCTTCATTGATCTCGATGGTCAACTCGGGTGAAACTCCTTTTGACTCTAAAAGAACTCCAAAATCATCACTTTCTTCCAAGTTACTCTTGAACCTATAAATAAGCTATATAGACTCTAAAATATAATAAATAGTACTTAAAACCTTTATATACCATGGTAGATAATGGGTTAAATCCACGGTATATCACATGTATATGCATTATCCTATGATCCATACAAATATGCTGTCAAAACGTCCCTAAGATGCATTTCAAGATTTTTTGATGCCGTTAAGCTCATCAAAAATCTAAACATAATATCATCCATTACCGGGGAATACGTTTCCTCAAAATCAATTTCCGGTTTCTGAAAAAAAACTTAGGTAACTAATCAGGCTTTATATCGTGTTACTTCATTCTCTTCATTTACTTTTCTCACGAATACCCACTTATACCCAACATGATTTATATTCTTAGACATTATGACTATAGGTCCAAAGACATTTCTTTTATTCAGAGAGAGTAACTCAGTTTCTATGGTTTTCTTCCACTCCTCTCAATCATATTTTTTCATACATTCTAAAATAGACCTTGGGTTAGGATCATTATTTTTGTGATCTATTTCTTTGAACATAGAAAATAAGAACATTCCATCAACATCTATTATCTTATTTCTGATCCATAACTTTTCATCTCGGGCATAGTTGATAAAAATATCATACTTTTTTTTCCCTTCTCGTCATCTGGATCTTTATCATTATTTGGTTCTTCTTGAATCTTTTCATTTATGCCTCTTTTAGACATTTTTCAGTACCAGGTTCTTCAAGAACCTTTTTATTTATGCCTTCTTTCAGTCATCTTCGGTATTAGGTTTTCTTCTTGAACCTTTTTTTTTCTCAACCAATTTCTTTTTTCTTTGAATTTTTTTATCTTTAAAACCTGCTGGTCTCCCCCTCTTTAACAGAGCCCTAGGTTCATTTATTGTATCTCCATCAGTTTATATTTTAGGAACATCAATTCTTGATGAAACATTTCTCGTATTTGTGAACGCATCTGGTAACTGGTTTGCCAAATAATGCAAATGCACAATTTACTAAATTTTTAGGTCTGAACCTAAGCACCACCACCCCCCCCCGGGGGGGGGGGGTCAAGGTGTAACAGTGATGGTGTACACCACATAATCTCTTTAGGAATTTCTCTAATTCCTCCTCATAACGATGGAAATTCATCCTCATTAAATAACAATTGGCAAACCTTACTGTAAACATATCACCATGTATAATACTTGGTGACACATAACTCACATATATTTCCAATCTCCTCTGTGGGGGCGAAACTATCGGAACATAGACCGCACACCCAAAGATATGGAGATAGGATAGATCTAGCTCATGTCCATATGCCAATTGTAATGGCGGAGTACTTATGATATCCACTCTGGCTTAGCCGAATCGGCGCATCCGCATGCAAAATAGCATAACCCCATACTGAAATTGTGAGCTTTGTTCTCAGTATCAACAGTCTTGCAATAAACCGCAACCGTTTTATCAATGACTCGGGTCATGTCATTTTGTGTATGAACATGGGGAATTGGATGCTATACATCAATCCTCACTAACTTACAATAATCATCAAAGGCTTGCGATGTAAATTCACCAGCATTATCAGACCTCACTTTCTTAATGACATATCCTGAGAACTACGTTCTCACCATTATTATTTGGGCAATGAACTTTGCGAAAGCCGTATTTCATGTCTTCAAAAGACACACATTTTACCATCTGATAGATATGTCAATCAATACCATGAAATATTTGAACGGTCTGCACGGTGGATGGATCAGCCCACATATATCACCATGTATTGTTTCCAAAAACATTGGCGATTCATTGCCAACTTTTTCTGGTGAAGTCCGAGTTATAAGTTTTCCTTGAGAACATGCATTATATGTAAACTCGCCCGTTGCAAAATTCTTCCGTTTTTCAACGGATGGCCATTTGAATTTTGCACAATCTTTCTCATCATACTGAACTAGGATGTCCTAGCCTGTTATGCCAGATTTTAAATGTATCAGTAAACTTTAAGTTTATTACAGCATAGGACACAGTCATGTTATCTTTGTACAATATAGTTCAGAGGATAACATTCTTAACTCTTCCAATATTTGTTTCCTCTCGGACTTAATGCAAAGAAATTGCCATCTATACTCATAGTCTCAATATGATATCCATTTCTACGGATATCCTTATAACTTAACAAGTTTCTATGAGACTCGGGAGAATACAATGCATCACTTATTTCAAATAATGTTCCTCTTGGCATTGAAAGTTCTGTTCTACTAGAGTCCCTAATAATCTTTGCATTACCAGATATTGTACTTCCGCTTCTAGCGTAACCTTTCATTTTGAGACTGGATAAATATTCCTTATCTTTAATTATCGTGTGAGTTGACGTACTATCTGCCAATACATATCTCCAACCATAGTCTCAAAATTTGGCATTCTTTCTGAATTTAAAATATTCATAAAATTTGTATTACTAAACATGAAACATAATATACATCTTACAGAAAAAGATATAAATACTATAATACAGTAAACTTATATCACATCAATCTATATTACTCATCGATATTTTCTGCCTCAACCAGAAAATCTGATACATCGAGATGAGTATCATCATTTAAACTATGAAACGATGGCCCGGGTGCATCAGAGATTAAGTTTGTTTCACCTCCTTTCTCTTTCACTTTTTGGGATTCTCTATACAAATCGGCTAAGTGCTTTGGCGTATGAAAATTACGTACCCAAAGACATTTCATGCCGCATATGTAGAAACCCTTTTTTGTTTGTTTTTATCATCCTGGCTCCTTTCATTTCCGTGGAACTTCTTATTATTTCTTTTATCATATCGATAAAATTTTCTTCCTCGTTATGGGAACCGAAATTCACCCCTGTCGATTTCGTAAATATAGGAACTTAGGAAAACCGTAATTTCCCAGAAGACCCGGCTATCTGCGGAACCGCACACAAGCAATCAAGTAAACAATGATAAAAATAAAAAGATGTAAAAAACGAGATTTGAGAGCAAGAAGAAGTCTTATTACGAATTTGCGTAAGAACGGTACAACAAGAGTAAGCCTTACCTGTGTGAGCCGTCAGCGAGATTCCTAGTTTTAGCAACCTAAGACTAAAACCCTAGTTGAGACGCAACTCGATAACAAAAATGGAAAGTTGCCTAAATGCTAAGTTTTGGTGGTGAAAGCTCTGAAATTCGTGTCCTTGTGCTCTGTCCTTGGCCTTCTGCTTATATACTCCCTCCTTAGGCGGTTTAGTCCTTCCTAGGCGGTTTAGTCCTTCCTTTTCGCCCAGATTCGAGTTTATCAGGAATCTTCCATTTATCTCGATCTTTCCATTTTCCTTGCGGAAATCTTCTATTTATCTTCAAACTTGACATTTATCTTCTTTCTGTGAGTAAATAGTCAAACCTTCATTGTATCTTTGGACTGGATTTCGTTTAAAATCGCAAGTGGGCTTTTGTCGCGCTTTAGGGCTTTCCGAGCCGTTTTGCGATAAAACCTGTTTTATGATTTTAGACAAGATCGTTTCCTGATACAATGCCGTTTTTATAAGATTTCTCGAGTTAATCGTATAGTTTGAAAATGTACGA